GTAGAGCGCTTGCCGCGTTTGGGCATGGTGTTTCTGTCGCTGGTTCGAATCCAGCCGAAGTCCAGATTTTTCGCAAATGGATCTCATCTAAACTAAGGTTAATCATTCTGTTTAAAACCACTTTTCCAAGTCCTGAAACTGATCATTTGGTTGACAGGCTCACAAGTGCTCTTTATGTGATTACACGCTTATTATGTAGGAATGTGATGATGAAATTATTACGACGAACATGCGAATATGATACACATGATAATATTTATCATAACGCATATACCTAGTTAAAAATGAACTATATTCAAATGGTTACTGATGTTCAATTCGAAAATATATTCAAACGATTAGTCCATGCGGGGTAACCGATCTAAAGCATTAAATTATCAACTGCCGTCAGTAGTCATAGGTTAATTTGTTTCTGTGATCTTCGAATTTTATCGCGGAATGTGCCAGAAAAATACTGTTTCGTGAGTGATTGAGAAAACACATTTTACTTCACCTATATTGATCAGTCCACTAAGGTTTCTTTATCTGGTTTCGAATTCCGTCACGAAGTGATGTAACAGTCAGGTTTCACGCCAAATTAGGTCGGCCTTTTGCCCACAGAATGGAGAGTACATAAGTCTAGTGTTTACCACGCTGTTGTTTGTCACTGCTAGTCTTGCAGATGGACAGTCTTTCAAGTCTGAGATGCGGCAAATGTGAAATGAATCGAATAGCAATAGGGAACAGCCTACAGATCAGACCGGGTCATCCGTGAGAATCGAACTTGACTGTAAGCCGATGGTCAACCACTAAGACGTCGCTACCCCGTCGAATAATAGGTACTTTTGTTCGAAATTATGATCCCTGATGGCAAAAATCGTTTGCGCATTGGCGTAACCACACTGGCTCCTAGTGTACCTTGTTCGCCGAATCCGCATTTAATACAGCACAATTGTATCTGCCAGTCTCCGAAGTGAGAAGAACAAATATGGCCAAGTATTTTATGAAATTCAACTGTGATCAGTGTCTTAACACGCTCCCACTGGTTTATTAATCAAAATCCTTTAGGCGAACAATAACATCATCTCCACCACCTAGCTATAATGACCTAGTTGGAAGTACATTAAAGCCAGCATTCACTAGGTTATTGAAAGGGAGAAATTCTGCTGAAATTTTGGAGAATAGAACAGAACTACGATTCATGGGGTCAGTTGCAAACGCCTTTTGTTGAACAACTTGAATAGACTGTGAGATGGTGCTACAGGGATTTTCGACGTATTAAACTTCTAAAAAGCTCGAGGTGAAATAGGGAAATTTGTTGGAGTGGATCCAACCTGTTCATAAATTAAGCACACGTCTGGACGTTCTCCACAAAATGGTCACCTAGTAATAACATTCAACGAGTAATACAAAGGGATATTGAAGATAACAAAATTAATCCTTAACATCTGGACCTACACTTCATAAGTTCTGCCATTCTCCGACTTTTATGTGAAAACCTCGACGAACTTTGACAGCAGTCTAGGTTTGTACTTTTGTTTTGCCGGTAAAATGTCTAGATTTTAGGAAGAATTTGACTTCGATTTTGGAGCATTGAAACCG